TAAGAAATAAAAAGGACTTGGTGAGTTGATCAATAAATTACCTAGATTGCATCATGCCTCGACCGTACCTTAGGTAACCCTGTAACCGAATTAAAAAAGATCATCGATTCTAGAAAAATGGGTACTTGTTCTTGATTGTGACCCTATTCAATCCCTTGTAGTCAATATACAACCTCAAGGACCCATTACATTTTCTTGCGAATGTGACTTCAGCACCCCAAGGAGATATACTATGTCAGATGAACCCATTTTCATGTAATTCTTTGATATATTTTCTCAGTTCTTCCATCTCAATACGACTCTTTTGATACGGGATAACTGAAATGGGCTGGGTGCTAGGCTGAAGATTTATGATGAATTCAACTTCTCTATTCACCAGTAGTCCTGGTAGTTCATCAGAGAATGTAATTAGAGAATCTCATACCACAAGAATTTTTTGAATACAATTTTTTTTTTAGACTTGCCTAACATAGAAAAGAATAACTGAGTTAAAGCATCAGATAAACAATGCAGTTACCATAAGGGAATAATATCTAAAACTTTTATTAATTTGTGAAGGACTCTTCGTTAGGAAGGTTAAATACAAGCTTCTTATGAAAATAATCTACAGTAGCGTGATACGCTGCTAACCAGTTCATTTTTAAAATTACATCAAAATCCCCCGTGTCTAGTGCTATCAGGTTTATACTTAATTTTCTACCTACTATTTCTATGATACAAGCTTTGTATATAACATTCTCTAATAGTGTCCCATTTCTAAATATAGACATAAACAACACTGAATTATGGCTTTCAAGTAACACATTCAAATTTTTTGTAAAAACATGTGAAACAAAAGAATACGAAGCACTACTATCAATTAAAATATGTGCAAGATGGTTATAGATAGTGTACATACCTTGTATCACATCTAAGTTGACTTTAGCATCCTGCTGAGTGAAGGTATAGGCTCTGCCCTAAATTGGAGGTCTGATCTGATTCTGATTCTGATTCTATGGACACTCTCTCACGTAGTGTTGGGTACTTCCACATATGCAGCAGGTATTGTACAGGTGATAGCAGGGTCGGCTCCCATAATCCTTACCATAGTGTTGACAAGTCCTATTGCATCCTATTGCTAGGGCTTGATGAGGATCTTGAGTCGTAGATCTAGGTCTCTTGTTCTGCTGAATCGGCACAATAGGTGCTGGCCTGCGATGTTGAACCAGGGGCTTGAAATTACCCACTGTTGGAGGAAAGATGCAGAAGTTCCTCTCTATCAGCTGTGCCTTGGCCAGAACTGCTGAGTAGGTGCTGAGCTAGAATACATATAGTTGCTGTATAATCTCAAGATGGAGGCCCCACTTAAACTTTCTTACTTTTCTGCCTTCGTCCATTATGCTCTCAGGAGAGTATCGGCCTAACTCCAAAAAATTTTGGGCATACTCAGACACTGTTATATCACTTTGGATCAAGTGTGCAAACTTCATCTCTTTTAAATGTCAAAGGTGTTTTGAAAGGTACTTTGCATTGAAAGCTGCCAAGAATTATTCCCAGTTGACCGGAATGGGTAGGGTGGCCTACTTCAGTTGCCATCAACGACCTGTCTCACCTACGAGCATGTAAGCAGCAAGTATGACCTTCTGTTCGGGAACCACTCCAAGAGTTGCGATGACCTTCTCTGTCTTTGCCAACCAGTACTCAGCTTCTTTGAAAGTGGATGCCCTTGTAAAAGTAGATAAGTTAAGTCTCTTTTACCTCTCAATATAGCATGGGTCCATCCCAGGTGGAACTGGGTCCTGTTGAAGAGGAACTGGATATGCTGAGGAGGGACTGGTGACCCTGTGGAGGCACCTGGTTGTATGATGAGGGCATCGGGTTGTATTGTGGTAGTGTCGGATGATACAATTGACGAGTATGGTTGTACCGAGGTGGCACTAGATCTTTCCGTTATAATGGCGGCTCATATTGTGGAAGGAGTGGAGGGTCAGATAATTTCCTCCTCTCTACCCTGGCCTGCTAGGCAGAGATGAGTCTCTCCAGCATCTCGAAGAGCCGATCGACATCCTCTAGAAGCGACCCATCCTAGGCTGCTATGTCCAATGGGGACCTTCATCTTCTCATGTCTTTGTATTTACATTTCACAATGAAGGGTTGAGTGTTGGGTTGTATTGAATGATTCTAACCTTTATGTAAGGAATGGTTCCGAATAATACAGCTCTGATACCAACTATAAAGACCCAATACTTAATAGAAAAGAAAATATTGGGATTAATAAAATAATAGTAGAAGCAATTGAGAG